CGCCATCTGCCTTGCTAAAAACTGTTAGATCACACCCCTAAAACTACTCCCTGCTGTTTATTCCCTTATTTGCCCACTTCCCCCTCTTGAGGTTGACTGCTAAGATCCAGCTGTCAAAGTATTGAAGTCTATCATTTAAAAGTCCTATCTGGGCTCACCTAATTAACAAGTCCAATCAAAATTAAACACCTCATCCTAATTTCCCCTTTTATCATTATAAACTGCCATTTTCCTATAGGCTATGTTTGTCTCCTCTCCATCCAGAGGCAGTCCTTTGTCCTGTTCAAGCCTTCCCTCTCTCCCGGGCCCCCTCCCCGCGGGCAAAAACCCCCCCACCCTCTCTTCCTTCCCTTCCCCTTCTCCCTTCTCTTTGATCTCCTGTCCTAGTTTCTTATTCCTTGCCCTCTGTCGCTCTGGGGCAAAGACATATCATTTGTGCTGAGAACTTGGTCTTGGGGATCCAGAGCCGATACTATTCCTTTCAGTACCAAAGTCTATATATACTGTTTTCCTCCCACTACTATATATATCTATAACCAAGTTTAATTTATAAATTAAGCACAGTAAAAGATTAACAATAGTAGGACCATTATGACAATGTACCATAACAAAAGTATGTGAATTCAGCTTTGAAAAACTAAGTATGGTTTTGAGTCAGGATCTTGCTCTGTAGCTCAGGGCAGATCCTACTTTGCAATTCCCCTGCTTCAGTTCTCTGAAAATACCTTATTGCACCTCAGCAAAGATTTTTTTTCTTATTAAGTAAAGAATTTTCACCTTTTCACTTAAGAGAAGCAACTTACGCTTATCTTTGGCATGCTCCAAATGACAGCAAGACTATCCTTATGCTGTGACGTCAGTAGGTAAATAAAGGCTATTTGAACATGGGGTTTGCAGTACAGTGACAGTCAACCCAATAATAGAGATGGCTATTAAAATGATGGTAGGTGGTGGCATATAGAGCATGGAATTGCGGGGTAGATACTTCCTATGCTAGGCAGGCCAGGCTGGGACATGAACCAATTTCATCACCTGACTCAGAATGACACACCCAACTTGAAACTTCCGAGTTGTTTATTTTAGAATAGTATATATTTTTGGACATATTGGAATATTGTATAATTTTGGACAGTGACTAGCTATGGATAACTGAAATTTTAAAAAGTGAAGCCAGTACTGGGCATGGTGGGGCACACCTTTGCTTGTAGCACTTTAGAAGGAGAAACCGGTAGAGCTCTCTGAGTTTGAGTCTAGTCTGGTGGCCTACACAGTGAGTTACAGGATAGCCAGGACTACACAGTGAGACACCATCTCAAAAGGAAAAACAAAACTGAAACTAAGGGCTAGAGAGATGGCTCCCTAGGTAAGAGCACTTGTTCTGGCAGGGACCCTGGGATCAATTTCCAGCCTGTAATTCCAGTTCCAGGGGGTCCGATGCCCTCTTGTGGATTCTTTTGGCATCAGATATGAAGTAGTATGTGTATACACACACACACACACACACACACACACACACACGTACACACACATGCATGCCTATACATAAATTAAAAAATTTTTTTTTTTAAAAATATGACTTCCTTTCTGGGGTGTGGGATGGGGGGGTTGCTGTTCAAGAAAAGATTAAAAAGCCTTTCTCCCTACCTTCTGTGCAGTATGGCATTCTGCCCTTTTAGGGTCACTCCACACATCCTGGCTTTTATTCAAATCAGAGCTTCTCTAGGAGCAGCCTGGCAATGTACTGCAAGGTCACCTTTTTGGTTCTTAAACAACTGTATGAGCCACAAACTGATGCTCAGCAATCACCAGTCACCAGGTCATGAACTTTCAACCTTAATTAGACACATCGCCAGCACAAACAACCTTAGGTCCTACGGTCAAAAATATTAAAATTTACTTAAGTTTATATATTTAATATACATTTAACTGCAGGTGCATGGGGTGCACACCTGCACAGTGGACCCTGGGGCAGGGGCGTCCAGGGTTCTAGGCCATCCTGAACTCCATTAACAGTCGAAAAAATAGTTTATTCACGGGCAGGAGAGATAGGGCTCAGAGGCAGAAGACGCAGGGCTTGGCTCCCAGCACCACATACGGTAGCTCAGGACGGTCTACCAGTCGGGTTTCAGCGGGTCCAATGCCTTCAGGCTTTCTCTGGCAAGGGATGAAGGGGGGACATATATCTGCTATTTGCAGGTTGGACAGGCGCAAACATAATTTTTCAAAGATGTTTCATGATTTTACTTTCTCGACACTGCACAAAGGTATTATTAACGTTATGGTTGCCTAAAGGTATTATTAACGTTATAGCTGCCTATAGAAATTACGGTGCCACGGACTAAACTGTTGCACCCAGAGGGAAAGGCTAAGGTGCATTCCCTTGGCAGAAGTATGTATGCATAGTTATACTCTGCCTCATGCTCTCATCCCCTAAAACATACTCTTTAAAACTGATCGCAAATTGGAGACCCATGGGATAAATTCAGCCTATATAAATGTTTGGCTCTTTAAAACTGATCGTAAATTGGAGACCCATGGGATAAATTCAGCCTATATAAATGTTTGACCTTTTATAGAGTTAAACGTTCTTTCTCGGTGATATTTAAAGATTTTGTGCATAAATCACCACCCGGCTTTCTACCTTCCCTTTAAAAAATAGGTGGCACTTCATCATTAGCCAAGTAGCTCCCTCGCTGCCCTGGGATGTTTATGCTCTTCTACCTCTACCATTTAAGCCAGCTGGTTTGGGAAGGACTCCGGCTCATCCCTTACAGGTGGCCTGGCGCAGCCTTCGTGACAGGGTAACTGACTTCCAACCGGAGTCCTGCGGTTAGTGGCTGGGTCGATCACAACCTGGAGCCTCAATTTCCCTATCCGCAAAACTGGCTGATAACTCGCGTAAGCGATCAGGAATGTTGATTGAGCAACTAACCAAAAGGCTGGGCACGAACACGGGACTCCGAGGCGCACCCCTGCGACCTAGGCCGGCGTCCGCAGGCCCGTCCTGGGATCCGGCGGGGAGTCCCGAACCCGGAATCCGCCGCGCTCTCGGCCCTCCCGCCGGGGGCCCCCGCGCCCCGTCGAGGTCGGCCCCTGCCTGGCGCAGAGAGGCGTGGCCGGCCCTTGAGCCCGCCGCGGCGGCCATGGCCTCGGTGGTGGAATACAAGGGCCTGAAGGCCGGCTACCACTGCGGCTACTGCGCGTCCAGGGAGGGCAAGACGTCGTGTGGTGAGTGTCCCGCCGTCCGGGTGGCCGTAACCGCCTCCCGCCAGGCCCTCGCCACGTCCCGGCGGGTCCCTGGCGGGGGGTTAAGGCCGTTGGTCACCCGACTCCAGCTTCCCGGGCTCATTAGTCTCTGCCCAGCCTGCCGCCTCCTGCCCGGCTGGGTCTTCCCACCTCGCCCTCACCGGTGATAGCCGCCCCTCACAGAGGAGGAACGGAAATAGCGGAAGGCTGCCCTCAGTCAATATGGCGCGGGCGGCGTCAGTCACGCGTGTTGCCAGGTTTTTCCGGCCCGCGAGCTCCCGAGTGGCTTCGCGCGGTCTTCGGAGGCGCGCGCGCTGCATTGTGGGGTGGTGGAGGCGGTGGCGGCGGCTGCGTTGGGCTGGGTGGCTCTGAGCCGGCGGGGGCCGTAGCAATGGCTTCCTGGAGCGCGCCTACTTTCAGCCTCGTAGAGTATTTTGAGAGCCAGACCTTGTTCCAGTGTGGCTATTGCAAGAATGTTGCGTGCAGTGTCTCCAACGGTGAGCGAGCCGGGCCGGCGGGCGTGGGAAGCCGGCAGCCACGGCTTTGGGGTGGGGTGGGGGGTCTGGGTGGTGACGCTTGAGGGACTTGGGCACTCGCTGCATGTGGAGCATCGGGAAGAACCCCGGGGGTGCTCCGCCCGCCCTCGCTGCCGTCCACGAACAGCTGCTGGTCTGTGCGAGAGGGAAAGGAGGAAGGAGATTGGGGTCTCCTAAGAGCTGACCGCTGCCCTGCACCCCCGCGGTGGGTGCTGGACAGCCGGGGCCCCCCGCTGTCTGTGTGGAGGGGCGTGTGCGTGAACACCTGCGCACTGTCATCCTTGGATAAGAGTGTCTGGGAGAACATCCTAGAAAACAGTGTCTCTAGACTGATTGTCCCCATCTGCTTGATATTCTTTTATCTGTAGTTCATACCAAGTCTTTCTGTCAACCTACCTTTAGGACCACAACAAAATTAACACACGGTGTTCTGTCAGGATTCATGTTTCCTTCCTTCCCTGTTTCCTCTCTTATTTCCCTCCCTCCTTCCTTCCTTTTGTTTTTTCGAGACAGGGTTTCTCTATGTAGCCCTGGCTGTCCTGGAACTCACTCTGTAGACCAGGCTGGCCTCGAACTCACAGCCTGCCTCTGCCTCTCAAGTGCTGGGATTAAAGGCATGTGCCACCACCGCCTGGCTAGGATTCAGATACCTTAAGATTTGTTTGTTAGCTGAACATCATACTGTCTGATGTGTCATGATTGACAAATTCAACAGGTGGAAAACAAGATAACTGTGAAAATAAAAATTCAGGTTGGACGTTTGTGCAGTTTCAAAGACTGTTAGTGATTTGGCCGAGTATGATGTACTGGTTTACAGATTCATTAAATGTGTTTATTAGGTAGCCGGGCATGGTGACACTTGCCTTTAGTCTGGGAGGCAGAAGCAGCTGTATCTAAGGCCATCTTGGTCTACAAAGCGAGTTCCAGAACAGTCAGAGCTACACAGAAAAACCCTGTCTTGAAAAACAATCAAAAGAAGTGTTTATTAGGCAAGCTGTGGTCTTAAGTAGACAGTTACACAATCATTATAAGTACCATTGTGAAGAACCGTTAAGTGGAAAAATGCTTACAGCATAGGGTTAAATAAAATAAACAGGATACAGATGTTCTTTTCCTCCCAGTGACAGCTGGGAGGAATAAGTCCCAAAGAGCAGTACATCAGATAGTGACAGTGGTGCCTTTGAGTGACAGAGAATTGGATAAGAGAAATTTGTCCACTATAAATGTTTTGTGTTTGAAGATTTGTGGAGGAAAAGTCTTTTCATGTAGAGAAATAACTGTGAGTTTTTAACGTTTCGGTTTTAATATCCACTGTAGGGCACCCTTCTGTTGGATGACTGATATTCTATTGCAGATCTGAGTGGCCGCAAACTCAGGATTCTTGTGAGCTTCAGATGGTTAGCAAGTTGGTATTAGCGAGTGACTACCCTTTGAAAGTTATTGTTCATTGATCTCCTGTTGTTGTGATGAACACCGTGACCAAATGCATGTTGGGAAGAGGACAGGGTTCATTTCATAATCCACTTTTCAATCCCTCATGAAGGGAGGGCAGGACAGGAAGTAGAGGCAGGTGCCCCGAGGCAGGAACTTGGGGGCAGGAACTGAAACAAGGAAGCGCTGGTTTACTCACCTTTCTATTGAACTCTGACATACTGGGGATCATGGGAAGAGGCACGTACAGTAGGACGAGCCTAAAGATGGAGCTGGCTGGTGGTGAGGGGCTAACCCTGTCTACTTCAGTGTTTGGAGTCCAAGTGCCTGTGAGTTTGCTGCAGAGAGGCTGCAACAGAAAAATCTCAGACTTGCTCAGAGGTCTTGGGGAAAAAAAAAGAGAGAGAGAGAGAGAGCGAGCGAGAAAGAAAGAAAACTAGTCCTTAGGCGGTGACTCTGGCCATGTGCAGCTCTGGCCTGTACTGGTGGCTACAAAGCCACAGGCAAGCAGCTTTTTCATGAGTTTGTGCCCCAGAGTTAGATGCCAGATGAAATGCGATCCTTATTAGTCTTACTAATTAAAACCCAGAGTCAGATAGTGGAATAAAAGCTGAAAGATCAGAGAAGTAAAGGGCCAGACACAGTCACTTCTTACCTCTCTGACGCAGAGCAAACAGGGCTCTGATCACGTCTACACTCTGCCTTAATCATTTGCTCTCTCGTCTGTACAGACCTCCAGACCTCTGTGGTTAACTAGTGGCTAGGTCCACCCTCTGATCTCCAGGCAAGCTTTATTTGTCAGAGCACAAACAAAATCTCACAACAGTTTTCTCTAGTTTTATTGTTGAAGCCTGTGCTGTACATATTATGCATATCAATAATTAGAACTGTTAGTTTTGTCACCTTGACGTATGTTAGAGTCATCTGGGAAGAAGAAGCCTCAACTGAGAAAAAGGCTCCCTCAGATTGGCCTGTAGGCAAGTCTGTTGTAGCATTTTCTTGATTAGTGATTGATGTAGGAGGGCCAAGCTCTCAGTGACTGATGCCACCTCTGGGCAGGCGGTACTAGGGTTTACAAGAAAGCACTCTAAGCAAGCTGTGGAAAGCAAGCCAGCAAGCAGAGATTCTTCCATGCTGTCTGCTTCAGTTCCTGCCTCCAGATTCCTGCCTCGAGTATCTGCCTGTAGGTTCCTGCCTTGGGCATTGCCTCTAGTTTCCTCCCTCCAGTTCCTGCCAGACCTCCCGTCAGGATGTGTTCTAAACTGTGAGGTGAATAAACCCTTTCTGCCCCAAACTACATTTGGTCACGGTATTTATCACAGTAACAGAAAGAAAACAAATGACAACTCTCAAATAGGTGAGCCAGTCTGTTAACTCATTGGAGTTATTAATGAAAGTTTGTGTGATGAAGTCCTAATTCCAATGAAAATCTAGATTTATGTCATAGATACTATTTATTAATCTTCAAATAAATTTGAATCACTTTTGATGTATTTGATTCTTTAGTTCGAGTAGATTTTGTTGGTTTGTTTGTTTTGAGACAGGGTTTCTCTTATGCATCCCTGTTTAGCCAAGTAACCAAGGCTGGCCTTGAACTCAGAGATCTAACTGCCTCTGCCTCTTTGAGTGCTGGGTCAAAGGCACATGCCACTACACCTGACTTTTTTTGGACCAAAGGTCTTATATTACCCAGACTGTCTTCAAATTTATTATATAGTTGAGGCTAGTCTTAGCCTGTCTTATCCACCTACCTCCACCTGCCTTTACTCACTAAGTTCTGGGATTACAGGTCTGTGTCACTCCTCTTATCTTAGAATAATATATCTTATTTCCTTTTGTGTTGTCTGTATTATATTCAGTATGAAGTATGTATAAACTTTTTATTACTCCAATATGAATGTTTTAGAATTTTAGTCTAAATTTGCCATTTTTATTTTTATTAATTTTTTACATAGGGCCTTACTAGCCCTGGCTGGCTTGGAATGCACAGAGATCCACAGAGATCCATCTGCCTCTGCCTCTGGAGTACTGAAATTAAAGGTGTGCATTAGCACGCCTGGCCTAATTTCTTTTTCTTTTTCTTTTTGAGCACTTAGAATTTTAAAAAGAAGACAATAGGACAATGCAGAGTTCTGGAATTAATGTGGTACTTACTTTTTCAGGCATGTGGGCACACTCTTTGACAGTACAGGATTATCAGGATCTCATAGACCGAGGATGGAGAAGGTAAAGCTCTTTAACACTGATTCTTTTCGCTATTGTTCAGTTGCGTCTTACAACTGCACAATGAAATCACCTTCAGTTATCTGAGGTTGTAAGAAAGTTTAAGAAAATGTTTATTATTTTTTTGTGTACTTTGTTCTCAGAAATTTATTTGGAAAGGTAAAAATGATGCATAAAGCCAAATACATTATAACCAACCTTGTGTGCTTATTAGTAACTGACAGTTACTGGAATTATTCTAGTCTTTCACTAATTCTCTATGCTGTCTGTCCTTTGCAAAATATTTGACAGCAGATTACATACTAATTATTGTAGAAAGCATATTGGTAAAGCTAAGGTAAGGGGAAATGGTTTTTCTTTTAATTTATCTACCATACCTTTATCATCTTACAAAATTAATACTAATTTTTCTGCTGACTGTGGTATGTCATGCCTGTAATTCCAGCACTGGGAAGCAGAGGTAGGTGGATATCTGTAAGTTTGCGACTAGCCCAGGCCAGCCGGGGCTACATGGTGAGACCCTCTCAAAGAAAACCAAAACCAAAAATTAATATAATTTTTTGATGGTACATGGCATTCGTTTAAATTGCTTTCAAAAGATCTTATTACTTTGTGTGTGTGTGTGTCTGTGTGTATGTGTGTGTGTGTGTGTGTGAGAGAGAGAGAGAGAGAGAGAGAGAGAGAATATGCACGAACCCGTGAGCTTGTGCGTGGTTGGCAGCAAGCGTCTTTACCTGATGACCTGTTTTGCTGGCTTCTTCCTGAGTTTTGATTGTTTTCTAGAGTCACTTCTTTCTGTTTCTTTATGTTGTATGGTGTATCTGTGTGTAGCAGCTGACTTGAGATGTTCCTCTTGATTGCTCATCACCTTATGTATTGTAGCAGGGTCTCTCTTTAACTCCAGAGTTAGTGCCATTTTGACTAGTTGGTCTAGCCAGCCTTGTTCCAGGGATCCCTGTCTGTGCTTCCTGCAAGCCAGCAGTATAGATGGCTGCCTGGTTTTGGGGCGCTGTACTCCAACCTTATGCTTACACAGGCAGGGCTTTTATTACTGAGCCATCTTTCCTAGATTGCCTTTTAAAAAATTCATTTTTAAAAAATGTTTCCTTGTGTTTGAGTTTTGGCTTCTGTGTGCTGCAATGTCTATGGAGGTCAGAGGACAACCTGTGGGAGGTTGTTCTTTCCTTCTATGTGGGTTCTGGGGAGCAGAGCAGGTCTTCAGTCTAGGCAGCAAATGCCTTCATCAACGGAGCTATCTCACCGATCCAAGATTGACACACATAGGCACACACACACAGTTGGTTAATTGATTCTGTAATTGTTCACGCATTGTGTTTTCTTGGTAGTTTTTGTTTTGTTTTGTTTTTTTGAGGTAGTTGTTACTATGTACCCCTGACTGGTCTAGAACTCTGTATGTAGACCTGGGTCTGCTTCCTGAGTACTGAGGTTAAAGGTGACTGGATAACTATTTCTAAGTAACTTTTAGGAAAGTTTCTTATGTAAATGTAAGCAATATGAAGCATTAAGTACTAAATGCCAGTATTTTCTAAAGCAGAAACTGAGCATGCCAATTAAAATGTTGACACCCATTAAATTTAATATGAGTCTCAAAATGTAGATGAAAGTCAGATGTTGTAGGATTTTAGATGATGTCATAAGGATCCCGTTAAGGTAAGAAGGAGCCATTCAGGGGTTTTATATGAGAGCAATGTGAGGAAATTTTTTTTTAAGAAAGGTTCATTTATAAGTCAGAGAGGTATTTGAGAGGGCACTCCTGGAGGCAGGAAGGAGAGGACAAATGTAAGATGTATTTAGCAAGTAGAAATCTTTGATAGGTTGTGGAGGTGAGTTTGAGACATGATGTCCTCAGTATACAATAAGGTAACAATAGTCTAAAAGGACTCTCAGGTTCCTGACCTGAGAAATGAATTTGTGGTTCTACTAACAGGTCTACAGTGCCTATAAATGAGGCTTAAGTGGTACTTTAAGCTCGTATGTGCGTGTGGGGTGTGTGTGTGTGTGTGTGTGTGTGTGACTGTGAGGAAGGTCCATCTGTCTAACAACATCATGGGCATTTTTTTAATTTTAAAAAGAGTTTTGTTTTTAAAATTGTGTGTATGAGTATGTATCTGTATGGTGCCATGTACATGAGTATTGGGGCCTCTGGAGCTGAAGGAATAGGGTTTTGAGTGCTGGGAACTGAACTCAGGTCCTCAGGAAAAACGGTACATGCCCATAGCCACTGAGTCAATGCTCCAGCCCCGTCACGCATAGGTTTATTACTGTCTCTGGTACTGATAGAGTAGCAGATGGAGACACTGAAGGAGTTGAAGGTACTGATGATAATTGGTGCATCTGTTGAGGTCTAGGAAAGGAAAAGTTGGTTTTTTTATGCTGTTGATTAGATTTTACCCTTATCTTAGAGTTTTTCTAATCTATTTTGGTACGTGTGAAAAGTATATAAGAAATTAACAAACTGTTTTTTATAATTTTAGAAGTGGGAAATATCTGTATAAACCTGTCATGAATAAAACATGCTGTCCTCAGTACACAATAAGGTAAGGATCTACAGCACAAAGATTGTGTGTATTTAAAGTAGAATCTTAGGATTTTAAAATACTGTTTCTGCTTTAGTTAGACATTATAAGGAAAGTAAATAAATTGTCTTTTCTATGTATTGATTTGAAATCCACATATTGATAAGTGGATTCTTATATTGTTTAGTTAGTCCTGATATAAAGATGATATGAAAAAATACTTTGTTAGCTAGTGGAAATTACTTTTATTTTTCAAGACAGGATTTCTCTGTGTAGCCCCGGCTGTCCTGGAACTGGACTAGGCTGGCCTCAGGATTTGCCTGCCTCTGCCTCCCAAGTGCTGGGTTTAAAGATGTGCACCACCGCTGTCTGGCAGAGTCTAGCCCCCCTCCCACCCCAGGGTACTCGTTCAGAACTCACTCGTAGACTAGACTGGCCTCAAACTCGTAGAGATCCTCCTGTCTCTGCCTCCCCAGTGTGTGCCACCACTGCCTGGCTAACTTTTTTGTTTGTTCGTTTTCCTTTTTTTTTAATGAAAAAAAATAAACTAATTTTTTCTTTGAAAGTGGGTGTCAGTTGCACATAGCTTCTAGGTTAGGGTGGGAGTTCATGTTCACTCTTCCTTCTGGGTGCTGGGACCCTGTTTTAGTAAGGGTTTCTATTGCTACAATGAAACACCATGACCAAAAGCAAGCTGGGGAGAACAGGGTTTATTTGGTTTATACTTACAAATCACAGTCTGTCAATGGAGGAAGTCAGAACAGGAAATGAAGCAGTGATGGGACCCAGAGGCAGGAGCTGATGCAGAGGTCATGGAGGGGTGCTGCTTACTGGCTTGTTCCCCATGGCTTGCCCAGCCTGCTTTCTTACAGAAACCAGGACTACCAGCCCAGGGATGGTGCCACCTACAATAGGTTGACACCTCCTCCATCAATCACTAATTAAGGCAATGCCCTACAGCTGGATCTTATGGAAGCATTTTCTCAATTGAGGCTCCCTCCATTCAGACAACTCTAGCTTGTATCGAGTTTACATAAGACTATCCAGCACAAGTGACCTCTTGACAACTTGACACACAAACACATTACTTTTAAGCCACAACCTTTCTTTCTTATTCTTCCCAAGATTATACATTAAAATCCAAATTCTCTGTAAATACCTGAGATCTCTCTCTCTCTCTCTTTTAAAGTTTAGCCTCTCAACTGTGGGCTCTTGTAAAATAAAAAAAAAAGATCAAGTCCATTCTTGAAGAGGGAAAAACCAGTGCACAGTCACTATCTGAACAAAGCAAAACCAGCCTCCAAAAGTGTAAGTGACTCAATGAGCAGTATCTGTGATTTTCTCACAGCCTTCTGGGCTCCTCTAAAGGACTTGGGTCACTTCTCAGGGTCTGCCCTCTACAGTACACACGACTTATCTTCTAGGCGCCGGCAGACTCCACTCCACTGCTGCTGCTGTTCTTGCTGATGATCCCATGGTACTGGCTTCTCCAAAATGCTGGCATCTTCTGCTGCAACTAGCCTGCACTTTCTCTAATAGCCTCTGCTAAACTCTCTTCATGGTGCCAAGCAAGCCTCCGCTTTTCTGCATGACCCCTTCAGTCCTGAGTCTTTAGCTGCCTCTGAGGCTGTTCCTTCACCCCTTCTGGCCTTTCACAGTGCCAAGCCTCAGCTGTTCTTCATGACCTCTTTGTGCCTTCAAAACCAGTACCACCTGGATGACTTTCACACTACCAAATTTGGCTCAGTGTGAGGTACAACCTTGGCTGCCTCTGTAACACAGCTTGTGAACTGACTCTTATGAAACGCTTCAGATCTGACCTCAGCGATGCTGTTGTCAGTCATCTCTAATATCTCAGCACTGGCTGACCAGCAGTGAGTGTCCCAGCAGAGCAAAGGCTTCACTTTAGCAGTCCTGGTGTCTTGTCAATCACAGCTGATTCTTCAGCCCCAGGGAACCAGAACCACAGAATTTTTTCTCTTCCCCCTCCTCTTTCTTTGAGACAGGGTTTCTTTGTGTAGTCCTAGTCCTGGAGCTTGCTCTGCAGACCAGGCTGGCCTCAAACTCGCAGAGATCTGCCTGCCTCTGCCTCCTGAGTGCTGGGATTAAAGGTGTGCAGTAACTCCGACTGTCAAGAACCACAGAATCTTAATTCAAAATAACAAATGGCCCTGACAGAGTCTTTAAACTTCCCTCTGGAACATCACAAGTCAGGCTTCCATCTTCTGCATTGCCCTCAACATTCTTCCAGCTCCTACAGAACAGCTCAACCAAGCATTGAACACTCAGTGACTTTCCTTGACCACAGTTCCAAAATAACATGGTCAGGCCTGTCATAGCAATACCCCACAGACTTTGTGTGGCTTGAACCTGTGCAGGCCTGGCGGGTGCTGCCACAGTCTGTGAATTCATGTGTGTATTAGTCCTGTTATATTTAGAAGACACTGTTTCCTTGGAATCATACATCCCCTTTGGCCCTTAGATTCTTTCTGCCTCCTTTTTGGCATAGTTCCTGAGCCCTCAGGGGAGGGGTTTAATAAAGACTTCCTATTTAGGACTAAGTGTCCCCAAATTTCTCAGTCTCTGCACATTGTCCAATTGTGGGTCTTACAGAGTCTGGCCTTCTGCAGGTCACAGTGACTGGAAGTGAGATTTGGAGTTGGTGAGAAAAGCACACAGACTGCTTTCCTGAGGGATGAAAGCTTCTTTTCTTGTTTCTTTGTTTTTCACGCACTGTTTTTATATTCCCCATAGCAAGTCCATTTCAGAGAGGAGGATTTTTCCCATAACTAAAAAGTTTCACAGTTACTAATAATCACAGCAAATACATTTTTCTGGAACAAGCCCATCCTAATACATTTCTTTCTTTCTTTTTTTGTTTGTTTGTTTGTCTTTTTGATAACAGGGTTTCTCTGTGTATCTCTGGCTATCCTGAAACTCACTCTGTAGACTAAGATGGCCTTGTACTTGAAAAGATTGGCCTGTTTCTGCCTCCCTGAGTGCTGGGATTAAAGGCATGCGCCACCATCACCCGGCTCCCAGTATATTTCTTAATCATATCTTTATACATTTTCTGAGAAACCCACACTCAGTTAAACATTCTTCTTTTAAACTTCTCACTGACCAGGCAGGACCTTTTCTGCCATAACTGTTCATATAGGCAGTAGTTTTATAATTGCCAGAAAACTAGGTTACTCGTTTCATTTTTTATATTTTAGAGTTCTGCCCAATTATCTTAACTAACCAATTCTTTGTTTTCTAGTTGCATGAAGTGAGTTGTTTAAAGCTTTGTCTCAGCTGTGATGCACACTGAAACCCGTGAACACATTTCCCAACATCAGAAAGAGCTTGAGCTAGCCTAATTCTTGAGACTCAGTTGTTTTCCTTAGTCATTAACCTAACCCATAGTCTATACAGCTCCTCAAGTGAAACACAGAAGTCTGAGCCCTGTGATACTTCCTTGTTCCTATTTTCTATCCTCTCCAGTTCCTGCTTTAGCGGGGCGGGGATCCTACCTTTGCTTATATTAATTTTCCCACTAAACTAATCTCTATCATAATCCATTACTATATTTGTTAGAAATTCTTAATTGTCAAAATTCTATTTTGTATTCTATTATTGTATAAACTCATTACTTCAGTTAAACAGTACAGCTTAAGATGAATTCATCTTCATAATGATCCACCGGTAAAAATGCCCAGTAAATTGGGATATTTCTATGAGATAGTCACATAACATTAAAGGCAATGGGAATCCTTCCACACCCATTCACACCATGCTAGATACTAGAAGAAAATGGCAGTGGCAAACGTTTAAAAAGGCACAGCAGTAGTAAGAGACATTCGGAAGCCAAAACTCTTGGGACCTTGCCTGTCTGAGATTCACTCACAGAGCCTTGCTTCCTGGTGGGCTGAACTCCTGAAGCTCAAGTGCCACCTGCTGGTCGCTCTTCTGACATACCACTGGGAGAGTCTCTATGCTAGTCTATCATATATATTACAAGAGGAAGCTTCTCTGATGATGACTGACTGTGACACTGATTTATGGGGATAGCAGAATGTTGTTAGGAGTCAGTTTATTGATATGTTCTTTTAACAGAACAAAAGTATTTGATTTTCCCTAGCCCATGACCTATCCAGTCTAAGATTCATGACCACATGAGCAGTGTCAGGCATTCCATCTCATGGAGTGGGTCTTCTAGCCAAGCAGAGAGTGGTTGGTTACTCCCACAGTGTTTGTGCCACAGTTTCACCGGCATAGCTTGCAGGCAGGTCACTGTTGTAGGTTACAGGGTTTGTAGTTGGGTTGATGGTTACCTTTCTCCTCTGGTAGCGTGCAGAGTACTTTCCAGAAGCATGAACACTAGTCAGTAGGTGTGAAGGCTCTAGGTAGGCACCAGCTTGACTTCTCTGTGTTCAGTGAGATATGTAAGTGTTGTCTTCAGCAAAGAGGCCTTAGCATTAGTTTGTGGAGAGCAACCAATAGCCTTGGCAGTAGCCTGGGATGTTTGTGGGCTTCTGTGGAGCATGTTTGGTCAATGACTCAACTGGATGTAACCCACTCCCTGGCGTTGGATGTTTTGGTTGGTGGCAAAAGATGACTGAGACTTTGTCTCTTCCATTATTTTTATTTCTTTTGTCCATCTATCTATCTGTCTGTCTATTTGTCTATTGATTTATCTAACTATCTCTATAAATATATATAAATATATGTAAATATATTAATATATTTAGGAAACTTCTAGAGTAGTTTTCCATATGACCTTAATGTTAGTTGTTCCCCCCACATTCCCTCTCTTAACCTTATTATCCACCCTCTTCCCCACTTAATCCTATTCCAGTATCCTCACTGTCTCTCCATAAGTATATATTCTATTTCTCTTTTCTGAGGGGACCCTTTTCTTTCCTCTGTAGTCTGTTTCTTGATACCTAACCTATGTAGTTATATGGATTATAGCATGCCTATCGAAGGCTTAAAAGCTAGCATTCATGTATAAGAGAACACACACAACATAGTCGAAAACCAGCTTTGACAAAATTTGAACATTCCAGGGTAGGAACGTGAGCATTAGAATTATTAAGCAAAATGAGCAGAGATATAAGAGAAATAAGAAACAGAAACAGAACAACATCAGGAGGGATGTTCAGTGAGTAACTGATTCACCTTGTTTATTTTTCACACGCTTGTATACTTCACTCCAAAGTGGGGGGGGCAACAGACTTCATTAGCATGGTATAAGGAATAAACTTAAATTCTCTGACCTTTGGTCCAGGTGGGGTGGATCCACCTCTACACTCAAAATACTAATTAACCACACCCTAGGTCAGAATCTCTTGTTTGTAGCCACACCTGTTGTCAACAACTTTGAGAGAGCAAAAATAAGCTCAAATTCTGACTTCCAATCAAGGTAGAACAGGCTTCCAACTGTGGGCCTCACAACACACACACACACACACACAGGAGAGACAGACTTCAGTGAATCAGCTCAACTTTATTTTAGAGTATAAGGAATATATAGGGTTGGGGAGTGTGGGGATAAGTGCTGATTTGCATTAAGTGACACGCTCTTATCACAAGACTTAGTACGTGAAGGGAGGGTCCTATTGCAGAACTCCTAGCACAAGTCGTCTTAGCAGAGATCTGTGCCACGGGGCAAGCTAAAGATGAGTCAGGCATCTGGTTTAGATAAAGTCAGTCCTCCAGGCCCAGGGACGTCCTCCATGTAAGGGCAGATAGAGAGCAGGAAGCCTTGCTTGGGAGAAAGGGAGTTCCCATATTCTGGAGCTTAGAGAGAAAGGTGCTAGGACACGGCAGACTGAAATGTATTCCAAAAATTCTCTCATTTTTCCTTTTCAGTTTTTCATCTTTTTTTTATTGAATCTTTTGAGAAGTTGCCCCCCCCCTTTTTAAACTCTCTTTACAATTTTTACTATCAGCCTTTACTACTGAAAACAGTTTTTTCCCTTGTCTTTTTTGGGAGGGGATAGTGTTGCTGCTGTAGTTGTAAAAATTTTAGAGCCGGGGTGGTAGCGCACACCTCCAGCACTTGGGAGGCAGAGGCAGATGGATCTCTAAATTCAAGGCCAGTGTGGTCTACAAGAACTAGTTCCAGGACAGACTCCAAAACTGCAGAGAAACCCTGTCTCGAAAAACAAAACAAAAAAATTTAGAAAAGTAAGAGATTTTTTTCCAAAGAAATTTCCAAGCTTTTCTTCTTGTATAGTCTGTTCTTTTTGCAGTTTGTTTGGCACCCATCTTTGTAGGAGAGACCAAGAGTCTAGTGATTCCAGTTTTTCAGTGTCCTAGTAAAAATGTTATACATCCAAAGAATGGGTCATTTTTTTTTTCTGTAGCTTTTAGGTAAATTGCTTTGGCTTGGCTATTGTGTTGGAGATTCTGTGAAGTAAATATTTTTAGGTCTGATCACTTTTTTGAGAGAAAACATGCAATGCTGGTGGTCAGGGGTTAGATGGGGTTGTCAGCATTCAGTATGTAGACTTCTTTCTGCTCCCTGATTTAAGTGTTTAACTGGAGGTTTCTCATTCTGCCTGGTGCCACAGCCACTTTAAAAATAACCACTCAGAGACTTAATATTAATTACATACTGTTTGGCCTATTACTTAAGCTTGTTATTAATTAACTCTTACAACTTAAATTAACCCACTTCTGTTAGTCTATATTTTACCACAAGACTTGTGACTTGTTACCTCACATCTTGCTCTTTTGGCAGCTGCTTGTGTCTCCCACAACTCTGCCTTTGTTTTTTGTTTTTTGTTTTGTTTTGTTTTGTTTTTTGGTTTTTCGAGACAGTTTCTCTGCAGCTTTGGAGCCTGTCCTGGAACTAGCTCTTGTAGACCAGGCTGGTCTCGAACTCACAGAGATTCGCCTCCCTCTGCCTCCCCCTCCTGAGTGCTGGGATTAAAGGCATGCACCACCACTGCCTGGCCAACTCTGGCTTCTTTCTCCCTGATTCAGTTTGGTTTTCCCGCCATAGGCTAAAGCAGCTTCTTTATTAACCAATGATAATAAAACATATTCAGAGCATACAGGGGGCATCCTACATCATAAGTATATGTGACATGCAGAAGACGCTGTGCTTTGCTCTTCTCTAAAAGCTGCACTGTGTGAGGAATCAACTCTCTATGCGGTTGAGAAGAAGGTCTGACGTGGGACTGTCTTGAAAACAGATTTCGAAGGTGTCCTCCTAATTGTAGATGCAGCTTCGCTTAGACTTTCAGATGTAGCACATGTCTGCAGTAGCTGGATTGTTAGGGATAAGAAAGAGCAGTGGTCTCACCCTTCCTAACGCTCTGGCACTTTTTAATACGGTTCCTCATGCTGTGCTGACCCCAACCATAAAATTATTTTCCTTGCTACTGTTGTGAATCATAATGTAAATGTCTGTGTTTTCTGATGGTCTTAGGTGATCCTTGGGAAGGGGCCATTTGACTCCCAAAGGGATTGCAACCCACAGGTTGAGAACCACTGATAGAGAAGAAATTAAATACCTTACTGGGTTTTTCATTGTTGAGTTAGGATTCAATTTTGATTACCTCAGTCAGTTAACTATTTATAAATCTGTTCCCTACCTTCCAATATTTCTTGCCTTCTCTTTTTCCTCTGGTTTATGTGCTTTTTTTCCCTCTTCCTCGTCTTCTTTCTTCCTTCTTCCTTTTTTTAAAATCTCTTAACTATAACTGTACTTACAGTGAATTTTAGAGTTTTGGAGTAGGATTAGAGGTTGCTTTAAATCACATCTTACAAAAAAAAAACCCAGACATGAAATTTGCTGCAGTCTACAATGTACTGTCCTAAACTGACCTCACTAAAAGCTTTTAAAATATTTGCTTGCTTTTCTAGGTGTCGCCCTTTACAGTTTCAACCATCAAAATCTCACAAGAAAGTTTTGAAAAAAATGCTGAAGTTTCTGGCTAAAGGGGAGATTTCGAAAGGCAGTTGTGAGGGTAAGAAAAGATCTGGTCTGGAAACTATTTTCTCTAATGTATCTCTCCTAGGCTCCCATTTTCACATGTCTAACTCAGGTCAGGTGGGGAAGGAGACTGGTATAATGTAATCCTATACTAATATTGTAAAGCTAATGACACTAGTGACACTACCATTTGTCTCACTAGACCCTTCAAATGTAGGAAGTACATACTAGCAGAGCCTGTCTTTGAAGGAAAATTGAGGATCATTGGAAAGATGTTGTGACTTTTTAAACTGAAATATTTGTTATTCAGACGCTTTGATAACACATCTGACTTGCTTCTAGTGATGTCCTTGTGACAGCTGTAGCATGAATTCTGATTGGTCTTAATAATAATAAAAATTCAGAGTCAGATATCAGGGGTGGAAACTGAAGGATCAGAGGAGCAGAGCAGCCACTAGAGAATTCTTACCTCTACCAGTGCTCAGACTGAAGGGCAGTCCTGCCTCTACGAATCCGCAGACTGAATTCTCAGACTGCATCTGTTTCCACAAAACCTCAGAGTGCACTGAGCTCTTATCTCCTCCTGCCTTATATTTCTCTCTTTGCTCAGCCATATCATTCCTGTCTCCACTTCCCTAGTGCTGGGATTAAAGGTGTGGAATCCCAAGTGCTGGGATCACCTTTGTGTGAGCTGTTTCTCTTTTAGACAGATTCAATCTCGCAGAGCCTAGGGTGGCCTTGAATTCAAAGAGGTCTCCTGCCTCCGTCTCTCTCGAGTGCTGGGATTAAAGGTGTGTGCCTTCACTACCTGGCCTTTATGGCTAACTAGTGACTTAGGTTTGCACTCTTCAAGCTTTATTTGTTAGAGACAAAACAAAATGTCACTATAGAAGCTTCTAATCCTGGGAATCTTAGTTTATTCATTCATTCTTAGCTTATTCATTTATTCCACAAGTGGGTTTTAAATGTGTCATAGTCACGGTCTTAATCACTGGAGAGACAATGGTTGGCCTAGCAGGTAAATTCTTTGGCTTCCTGCACTGTCCTGATTAGACAACTTAGAGTAGAATTGGCTTAGCTGGGGTCAGCAAAGAGGCTAGAAGGCTTGGTTTTAGAGGTTAAGTGCTGATTAGAGCCTTGGAAATAGTTTTGGTATAGCTCTGGTGGAATATTATATGTACATTGTTATAAGAAATGTTTTAAAATTTTTTGGTGTCCAGAAATTACAGTCCATATGTAAATTGATGATTGCCTATGTTTTCATGTGACCTATACATTTGGCTCTTTGTTTAACTTGTTATGTGCTTCTGCCTTGAATCTAAAACTGATTTCATAGGAGGTGACATAATCACCAGACCAAGGGGAAAGGGTTGAAATTTTAGGTCATAATTTTCTTAAAGACAAAATTAGCTAGACCAGTTGGGTGTCCAGCATTGGGAGCTTGACCATAGCTGGCACAATTACTGGAGGTCCATTCTTCTGCTAGAGTGGTTTGTCTTAGGTGTAGCTCCCTTGCTTTGGAAGGCAGGAGAGTGGATTTGGCAGACACACTGCAGCAACCCAGTTACTTACAGTTCTACTAATCTAAAATGTGTCAAATTTTATAGCTGATGATGGACTTTCATTTTATTCTCCTTTGTAGATGAGCCCATGGATTCTACAATGGAGGATGCTGTTGCTGGTGACTTTGCATTAATAAACAAGTTGGATATAAAGTGTGATCTTAAAACACTCAGCAGTGACCTCAAAGGAGGCATAGAGAGCGAAGAGAAGAAGAAGGAAAATAGTTTAAAGAAGGAAGGACCTAAGGAATTAATTCATCCACAAGCTATAGAGGAGAAGTTGGGTTCTGGTGAACCATCACATTCAATCAAAGTTCATATTGGTCCTAAGCCAGGTAGTGTATATTTTGTATAAGTTGGTAGTTATGCCTAGAGACTGATTAGGTTTTCTTGTGTTGTTTTGGGGGAGTTGGGCAGGGATTACACGATCTGGCAGTATATAAGAATAGTCCTATGAATGAATTAGTGTGAAGATGACATATATGGTCATTCATAAAAAGCTGAAAAAAAATTATAAAACCCAAAAAACCTAAAAATTGATTTCAGCTTATTCTCTTTTCTCGTTTTTATTCTTTGAGGATTTTTTTACACTGCATTTTGATCATATTCACCCCTCCCCTCCTCCTCCTCAACTCACTCAACTGTGCCTCCCCCCTTTTAAACCCACCCAATCCAGTTTGTGCTGCCCATATATTCTTGGATGTGTGACTTTCACTGGAGGGTGATCAACCCAACAGATGCACATACCTTAAAAGTGACTTTTCCCACTCCCAGCAGCTATCAGTTGCCAATAGCTCCTTAGCTTAAGATGAGACTTTGTGTCCACCTCCCTTCCCTATGGTGAAATTCTTGTGTGGCCTGATCTTGAATCGGTCATGCACATGCTGTCTCATCTGCTGTGAATTTCCCTGTGTAACTGCCCTGTTGTGTCTGGAAAACATTTTTTTTATAGTCATCCACAGCCACTGGCTTTTTAATGTTTCCAGCCTCTCCCCAAGGATTTGTAGGCCTTAGGAGAAGAGGGTGTGCTATGGAATTCTCCTTTATGGATCAGCATTCCACTGTCTTTTATTGTACCTTGATAGTAGTGGGTTCTTCCTCTACCCTTTCTCAGACATAGTCTGATCGTTTAGTCCTGGTTAGAATCAGCCATGAAAAAGGGGCTGGCCTGGAACTAACATATCCACCATGTCAGCCTCCCAGGTGCTGGACTTAAAGGGGTGAACTATACCCAGATAGTTTTAAAGAGCTATCAGTTAATTACTTGCTCTTTTAATTATAACAAAATTCATTAACCTGAACTTGTGAGCACTATTTGGAGTTACAGATATGTTAAAATGAGCAAGGATTCTTCTTAATTAAAAGAAACAACACGCCCATTACTCACCAGATTGTTCTAGATTAAAAAATGTCCCTAGAAATGTCACAGCGAGGCAGAAGATCCTTCACGTAGATACCTATTGCACAATCAGAAAAATGGGCAGATACTTAAAATATGAAAATAGATGGAGGAGTGAGTGAACAAATGCCTTTAGTAACAGAACTGTGCTGAGAAGTTTGTAGGACTGTTTGCCCTTTTTGACTGCTCCTGTGTCTAGGGTAGAGTTTTAATGATCCTGTGCAACTTCAGTGTGAACTCTGGACTGTCTAGTCTATAAGACTTGAAAAGACATTTCTAGGGTCAAGTGTATTGCTCTAATATTTTGGCATTCTTTTTAGGTAAAGGGGCTGATTTGAGTAAGCCTCCATGCCGAAAAGCAAAGGAAATGCGGAAAGAAAGGAAAAGGTTAAAACTCATGCAGCAAAACTCAGCTGGAGCCTTTGAGGGTTTCCAGGCTCAAGGTCAGCCAGCATCTTTGTTACCAAAGGCTAAATCCAATCAGCCCAAGTCACTTGAAGATTTAATTTTTGAATCTTTACCAGAGAATGCATCACACAAGTTAGAGGTACTTGGAGGGGTTTGTGGCTGTTGTGTTGTGTTGAGTATTTATTTTCTTTGTACTGATAGTTATCTGTTGAGATTTTATTATTTAGCATTTATGTTATAGTAAGTCAACTGCTATTTGAAAAAATTCTTTAAGACCTTTTGAAAATATTTTAGGCAACTATTATTAAAATTGTTTAAAAAATTTCAGTTGTAGCATGTTATTAAGCAGGGTACTCTCATCTTTTGTGTTACTTGGTTGCAGTTAAGTAGTTTACAAATACAAAAACATTTTAAAGTCAATTTTATTTTAAAAATTAAAATGGTAAAAGTTTATATCATAATAAGTAAATGAGTTTTATTATAATTTTCCAACCTAGGTCTTGATCAAGGTAGCGCCAGTGTCACCTCTGTAAACCTGAACTTACTTACACTACTGTCTTAGTCAGGGTTTCCATTGCTGCGGCAAAACACTGTGACCTCAGAGCAAGCTGGGGGTATAGGGTTTGTGTGGCTAACTCTGTTCATAATCAAAGAGAGTTAAGATAAGAACTCAAACAGGGCAGGAACCTGGAGGCAGGAGCTGATGCGGAGGTAATGGAGGGGTACTGCTACTGGCTTGCTCCCCATGGCTTACTCAGCCGTCTTTCTTCTAGAACTCCAGGGAAGGCACCGCCTGCAATGGACTGTATCCTCCCTCGTCAGTCACTAGTTTAGAAAATGCCCGACAGCCAGATCTTTTTTTTTTTTTTAAATATTTATTTATTTATTATGTATACAATATTCTGTCTGTGTATATGTCTGCAGGTCAGAAGAGGGCACCAGACCCCATTACAGATGGTTGTGAGCCACCATGTGGTTGCTGGGAATTGAACTCAGGACCTTTGGAAGAGCAGGCAATGCTCTTAACCACTGAGCCATCTCTCCAGCCCCCCAGCCAGATCTTTAGAAGCATTTTTCTCAATTCAGGTTCCCTCCTCTCAGATCACTCGTGTCAAGTTGACATAAAACTAGTCAACACAATTACCAGAAAGTGAGTTCTAGGACAGCTAGATCTGTTACACAGAGAAACCCTGTCTCAAAAAACCAAACAAACCAAACAAACAAAAATCCTAGCGAATTTATCTAAAAATTTTTTATTCTACAGTCTCATTTTTCCCAAATTGTTTCATATTTCAACAACAAATTGGAACTTTTAATGTTAATTATATATAATAGAATTATTTTCTAAGACATTAAACACGATATTAAAATATTAATTTTAATATTTTAATTTAAAATATACTTATACTTGATTGAATTTTTAGCTTAATGTTATCTAAGGATATTAATGCTAATCTTGATGGGCTGGAGATGGCTCAGTGGGGAAGAGTGAAGACCTGAGTTCGAATGTCTTGCACCCATGTAAAAAGCATGGCTGTGTATGCCTGTAACCCTAGTTTTGCTCACCACCTAGCCAAAGTGGTGAGCTTCTGGTTTAGTGAGAGGCATTAAGATGTACAGCAATGGAGCTACATTTGGCCTGCCAAACATAGCATGTACTGCACACGCACAGACACACAGAAATTTTAAACGGTTCACTGTAGATATATTTCAGACAAATTTTAACAACTTTGATTATTATAACTCCTTGCTACGTTGATACAGGTATTGAATTTCCTCCTCCCAGAATTGTAGAGAGTTGACTGTACTACTTAAAATACTTTAAGAAGAGGTTTTAATCGTTTGATCATAGGAACTTTATTCAGGGAGCCAACCTCACCTTAGAAATAGTTCTGTAGGTGTCAGTGTTTACATTTTAGCATGGTGGTACCCAGGGTGGGGGAGTTTGTTAGCCGCCGGGTATCACTCTTTCCTTTGCCAACATGAAGTGCCCAGCTACGCCCTTATTGTAGTACATTTAATTTCCTTTTGTTACTGTTTATTAGTAACAAATTTTCCCAAATTTTGGTTAGTAATTAATAAGATAAATGTCAGCTAGTCCTGTGCACAGTTACCATTTTTAATTTATCCTCATTTAAGGCCCCGAAAGTTTTGTTTTTGACATCATCACAGTGTAAAGGAAACCTGAGAGTCTGCATTTAGCTGTGTAGTGAAGTACACACACTGTGTGAGAGCTGCTCTTATAGTTATAGGTTAGTTGTAGGTTTATAGTTAATGATGATGAATAAACCTGCCCAAAGGTCTAGCTACAGTTCTTAGTAATTCTGACCGATTGACTTTTATTAAGTTTTGGACAACTAAAATTAAAGAGTGTTTGTGTTATCAGTGCTAGAAGGACCTGTCAGTTCACAGAAGAAATAGATATATGTAATTAGTCAGAGATGAGACTTAAATATACAGGGCATCCTCTATTGCTTTTTTTAAGTAGACTGTATATTGTAGCAATAACTTTTTCTTCATTTACTAACAATTGATTTTTAATGTTAAAATGTATGTTTATGCTTTAATATTTGTTGAAACATAGTTTTCTTATTGGGAGTTTCTGTTACTGCATATTCTGCAGAAGTGAATCAATGAATGAATGAATAAACATTGTTTTTTAACCCCTTCTGAAGGTGAGGGTGGTGAGATCTTCTCCACCAAGTCCTCAGTTCAAAGCCACATTTCAGGAGTCTTACCAGGTCTATAAGCGTTACCAGATGGTTATTCACAAGGATCCACCTGATAAACCAACTGTGAGCCAGGTCAGCAGGCCAAGTATGAGATCTTGGTTTAATTATACTTTATTTTTGTTTATATCGAGTTTGTAGCTTATCTGCACAAAGATAAGAGTGAGTGAGTGGACATTCTGTAAATGTGAATTCACTGTTGTCATGTTAAGTGCCAGTTATACATAATTTCAAAGTGGAAAGTCACATGCGAAGTTGCTTTTATTCAAAGCTGCTGTGTATGAACACATTTATCTATAAATAGTGGTGGAGCTTCAAGTTCAAGACGCAGGAGAAGAAGGTGTACTTGGCCTGGTGTGTTACTATGCTTCATCCATGTTAGAAAGTTCTAGAAAGAGTTCATAGCAGCTCAATTCTTCTTTATTAATGGAATACCTTACATAAAAGATGTGTAGGAAAAGGAAGACTGTAGAGACCTTTAGTAGAATCCTTGTCCACTTTTAATTTTATATAGCAGATGATTAAAAAAAGTGTGGGGCATGAAAAAAGCCTAAAGCACTTCATTCAGTAGAGGTGGCAGAAGTTGGTAACAGTAGCGACTAGTGTATGCGACAGCACAGCTGGTTGGTAGAGGAAAACCAAAGCAGAAACAAATTGGCTCTTAGGAATTAAAGGTTTTCCATGAATGTTGGTAGAAAGTTGGCACTCAGGCCTAGTTCCACTTAGCTCCATTCCTGCAATTTCATGGCAAATCCTGGGCTGAACTTTGGAGGTGGTTTGTGGAGATCTTCCTCTAGCCTCATCTTCAGAAGCGTGTCGACAGGTAGTGTTGGTTCAATAGCATTGGCTTCTATTTCCCTTGCTCTGAAGGTGAGGCTAGTACCTGCCTCCTTTGAGGATCCAGAGTTCAAGTCATCCTTCAACCAGTCCCATTCTTTATATATCAAGTATCAAGTGGCCATTCACAAGGAGACACCTGTTGAATGTGGAAAGTCTGAGGTACTGTCTCTTAACCATTTTCCTTGTATTGACCTGATTCTAAAAAAGGACAATGTATTTTAGCTGCCAAGTAGAGCTGATAACTCTGAAGTGTCTGTTACTGAGCTTTTGTGGAAAGGATTCAGACCTTGCATTTTAAATCCTTTATAAAAAAATAATTGTAAATTCAAGAAGTTTTCTTACACAGTTCTCTCACTGGGAACCTGAAAGCGGCGTTATTAGGGGTTTGTTCTCCAGTCTAAGTCAGCAGACATTTACTGCTTATCCCTTCGAGATTATTGCAGATAGCATCATCTAGCAAGCACTTGTTGAGAGAGGCTCCATATCTCAGGCTGTGGGCATTAAATGAGAGAGAATCTACAGTTGTCACAGTGGGACAGTGATGTGTTGGAATAAAGGCACAAACAGGTGCAGAGGTGACATTGAACCAGGTGACATTGAACCAAGCGTCGGCAGATGAGTAGGAGTGTATCTGGACTGAGGGAGAGGACGGTGTTCCTGGCAACAGTTTGAGCATGATCAGCGGTGTGCAGGCCGAACTACCAGTGTGCCTGAGGACCCACTCCTTAGCTTAGTATGGTCAGAGCATCGGCTGTGTGTCAGGTGACAGAGAACGAATGAGCTGTGTAGATTTAGTTAGGAGCCAGACTTCTTTTAAAAGTTGTTTTGGAAGCACTAGACACCCTAATGCCATTCTCCATTTCAGTGGTTCTCAGCATGCTGCCATTTTTATTTTTGTCTCCCTTTTTCCTTTGCTGTTTGTTTTGTTTTGGATTATTTTGTTCCAGATCTCAGCCTTTGTGCCATTTCATCTGTCAGTGCTTTACTGTGTGTCTTGCCTTACTAAAAAGTTTGATAATGAGCTAAGATAATCTAGGAAGAATTAAAAATATGTATAGAATAGTTACTTAGGAAAACCAAGTTGGTAGGCAACAGAAAACAAAGCCCAGAAGGCTTGATAGAGTTGACCTGCATTTTCCATCTCTTTCCATCTCTGTCATTTTGTTCCTCTAATTCATTACTGTTTTCTTTTGTAATGCATGATTATTTTCTTGTATAACAGTTAATCCTTTTAAGATTTTCAACTTAAATTTCTTTTCTTTATTTTTTTTTCTTCTTTTTTTTTTTCTCAGTTTCTGAGTTATAAAAATATCTTGAAAGTGCCCAATCTAGCCGGGCGGTGGTGGCACACGCCTTTAATCCCAGCACTTGGGAGGCAGAGGCAGGTGGATCTCTGTGAGTTCGAGGCCAGCCTGGTCTACAAGAGCTAGTTCCAGGACAGGCACCAAAAACTACAGAGAAACCCTGTCTCAAAAATCAAAAAAAAAAAAAAAAAGAAAAAAAGAAAGTGCCCAATCTAGAACTTATTCTGTGAATTTTACTTTACAGGGTCTATTTCAGATTTATACTATCTTCGTTCCTTGTAGATGCAAAAAAGTATTACTTCTGTGTATCTCTAGTTTCTCTTGTCTGTTCCCTTTTTGTACTGTTACGTTACTGTTAAAACATGTTTTATGTATGTTATAAATCAGTCATAGTTTATATATTCTTGTGTCTTGGGGCTGAAGGGATAACTCAGTGGTTAGGAGTAAGTGGTCTTCCAGAGGACCTGAGTTCAGTTCCTAGCACCCATATAAGGTAGTTCAGAAGGGACTGTAGCTTTAGCTACAGAAAATCCAATATTCTCTTCTGACCTCCTTAGACAAGCACACACAGCAAACTTCCATGCATATAATTAAAAATAAGAATAATAAACCTTTAAAAATGTTTGTTTTTTTATAAGCTGAGAAAAAGGATAAGAATAAGTAAATATTGGGGCTCGAGAAATGGCTCAGCAATTAAAAGCCCTGACTTCTTTTCCATAGGACCTCGTTTGAGTTCCAGCACCTGCATGGCTGCTCACAAACACCTTTACCTCTAGTAGGGGGATTTGATGCCCTCTTCTGGTCTCTGTAGGCTCTACATGCATCTGGTACACAGGCATGCATGCAAGCGAAACACCCGTAGACATAAAAACAAATGTTTAAAAAAATAGCTATTTATAATATGTCTTATTAAAGTTATTTGCTTCTTCTGGCTTTTGTTTGTTCCTGCTAATTTACGTTCTCTTAGACTGGTGTCACCTCCTGACTCTAGTACAGTTTTCCCTGTCCACTTGATTACAGCCTTACTGTCACTGCATTCATTTTCTATGTGTTTCCGCCCTGGCAAAACAACTATACACTCGCTATTTTTACAGTTGCTTTGAGAATTTGAACTCTGGTCTTCTTCAAGTGCAGTACATGCTCTTAAGCTATGAGCTCTTTCTCTAGCACCCAGGCACTTTCTGTTTCTCATGTTAACCATCATTTGATTGAGATCCTGAAGTTCTGGAATAGCTTTGTGCCTGAGCTCTGTGTAGTCAGGTATAACTTACCTAAGTACAGTAACTTGCCAGTAGTTGTGCCGCTTCTGTTGTTTTCTGAAAGCTGAGGAAGGAAATGAAATGAAAGATGTGAAATAGCTTGTTTGGTGTGAAATGGATGATAATTCTGTTTTTTAGATTTATTACATTTATTTGTTTATTAGAGGCAGGTGGGAGAGAGGAGAGGGTAGATTGTAGTGCATGAACTGTGATGTTTAAGTGGAGTTCAGAGGACAACTTGTGGGAGCCAGTTCTGCTTTCTTTTAGATTTGTTCATTTTATCTATGTGAGTGTTTTGCAGGCCTGCATGTATGTATGTGCGCCATTGGTGCTCATGGAGGTCAGAAGAGGGTATCAGATCCTCTGTGCATGGTTGTGAACCACCATGTGAGTACTGGGAATTGAACCTGGGTTCTCTTCAAGAACCTTCCCAGCCCCGATAGTAATTCTTGATGAACCACGTTGTCTGAGAGTAAATGTGTTCAGTGAAAACTTGTTTGGATTGGTGGTATGAGGTGGTAACAGTTATAATTCCATGTGTTTGGGTTCGCATGTTGATGAGCTGAGGAACACCAAGGGTAAGGTGTAAACTGCTCAGTTGTCTGACAACACTGACTAAACCATAGCCTCCACTCATTTCCCATGAGGCTCTAAGAGAGTTCCCAGTTCTTCAGCTGTTTTTACTTTTAAGTTCCCTCCTTAGCAGTGTGGAGGAGGGAGTTCTGCAACAGTGTTTATTGTGGGGGGTAAAATAAGATCGTCCCTGTAGAGCTGTGGATGGATGATGGCGTACATCTGTACGAGGGGTCATCAGGCTGTCACAGATATCTAGACCACCGTTTTCTTCCTGAGTGCTTTACAGCTTGGCAACCACTGGTTTTTCCTCTCTCCAGTTGTTTCTTAAAAACAGTCTGCTTTGCTGCTTACTCATTTGACAGGAGATCCCCGGCCTGCTCAGTAAGGTCAGGAGCAAATAAATGAGACTTCTGGTCAGTTCAGTCAGCATTGGCAAGTAGAATTAATTTCTTGTTGTTTTGTTTTTCCGCTTACATTAATGTATTCATTTGAATTGAAAGGTCACATGTTTGATTTTATTTGATTACTTATTTTCTTGTAGTGTTGAGAATTGAACCCAGGACCTCATGGATTTTAGCTAAACCCTCAGCCCTAGTTTTGAGTTTTAGTATTAATTTATTTATTCTGGGGGGGAATATGATTCATCACAGGTAATTTTGGTCTCTAATTTTTATGCTATTTTGACTCATCCTGTTATAGCACATGAAACATGTAAAGAGCACCATTTGTGAGCTTTATATGTGTATTTTTTTTCTTTCCTTGGTCTGGAGAAGGAGGAAGAAAAGGCATCTCTGGGTGTCCACTAGTGGCCGAACTTGCTTAGACTTGGACTTGTTCTTTCCTTTTGATAAATTAACTCTATTAGGTTACTAAAGTCAGTCACATACTTTGTGTTTGTTATTCCAGTTTAGAAAAATGTTTTGCCAGAGTCTGAAGAAAGGCACAGTACTGAAGGCCAGGGAGCTTTGGCCAGTGAATAAGCCTCAGAGTTGACAGTTTTTAAGAAACACTGGAGAGGGAATTTAATTGTCAAATTGTAAACTGCTCAGGAAGAAAAAGGAAAATTTGAATGATGTCAAAAGCTTTTGACAGTTGTCTTCCTATAATAAATAAACTCTGCTTTTAATTTTCTGAGCCAGCATTAAGATATTTACCTATAATGAGTTAAGCACGTTTTAGCGAGTGCAAAGCTCATGCGATAGGAATACTCACTCTTGTTGCGAGTGCCATTTGTCTTCAGGCTTTCTGTTTAGATCGCTTTTCTTATCAGATCTGAGGAACTTACCGAGTGAACATCACTACCCACTGATTCCTAGTCTAAACAGGGAATGCTTGTATTTTTGCTGTTCATTGTGTATGCCAAATAATTTTAGGCAAGTGCTTGCATGATTTAAAAGTAGTCAATTTTTTTTGTAATTTTTAATTAAAAAAGTAAAGAAATATTCAGAGAATAATTTTGCCATAAACATGTCCAAATACAGAATATTTGCATTGGTTTATAAATATTGGTGCATATATTTCTGTACTCTTACATGGCAGTTGTTCTAGAAACAGCTCAAAAATTTACATTTAGAATAACTTTCATATTTCTTTTCCTGGCTTGTGGAAGAACATGATTCCTTTATTCACCAAATCATAGGAACGTTTTAATTTCCTGTGTGTTTCTGTCCTTATGGTATAAGATGCCTCAGTGAGTAAGGCAGAATCTTGCACATTCTAGATAGGAAATAAGAAAAATGAACTTCAAAATAGTATTGCAATAAATGCTGATGCATAAGTGTCTTTGCAATATGTTTCTTTGGAGTCCTTAGCATAAATGTGATAGATGTATTTCTTTTTTTAATATTTATTTATTTATTATGTATACAATATTCTGTCTGTGTGTATGCCTGCAGGCCAGAAGAGGGCACCAGACCCCATTACAGATGGTTGTGAGCCACCATGTGATTGCTGGGAATTGAACTCAGGACCTTTGGAAGAGCAGGCAATGCTCTTAACCACTGAGCCATCTCTCCAGCCCTAGATGTATTTCTTGTGGGTTTGTTCTTGTTGTTTTTCTTTTAGGCAGGGTTTCTCTGTGTAGCTCTGACTGTCCTGGAACAGTCAGGCTACCCTTGAACCCAGAGATCTGCCAGTCCCTGCCTCCCAAGTGCTAGGATTAAAGGCATGTGCCACCATGTGTGACTCTTTATTTCTAGTTTTTTGAGAAATGTCCATACTAATTTCCACAGAAACTGGACTAGTTTTCATATCTACCAGCATAGAAAGACCACTGCAGCTTTAAAATGTTGGTGAAAGAAACTGAAGAAGGTACTATGAACCAGAAAGGCCTTCTGTTCATTGGTTGGAAGAATTAAAATAGTGAAAGTAGCTGTATTAACCGAAAGCAGTCTACAGATTCAGTGCAATCCCCATCAAAATTCCAGTGCCATTGTTCACAGAAATAGGAAAATAAATCTTCAAATTCATTTGGAAACATAAAGATAGCCAAAGCAGTCCTGAGGAAAGAGAATACTGATGATTTCAGATTCCATTACAGAGGCATAGTAAGTAAACAGCATGATGCTGGCACAGAAACAGGCCAAGCTGATCTATGGACCAGAACAAAAGGTCCACACACATCAGCACAAGCTCAAATCGTCTGATTTTTGACAAAGATCCAAAAATGCACATTGGAGAAATGACAGCTTTGTTAACAGTGTTGTTGGCAATTGGATATCTCTAATAGAAGAAAAATTAATGTGTTACCTCTCACCCTTCACAACAGTAACTTCAAATGTCAGAGACTTCAATGTAAGACTTGGGACTCCAAAAGTGTTAGAAGAAAATATAGAGAAAACCAGATAGAGGCATAGGTAAGGACTTTCTGAACAGGATCTTAGTTGCCTTGGAAGTAAGACCATCAATTGACAAATGGGACTTCATGATAAAAAGCTTCTGTACAGGAAAGGAAGTAGTTAATTGAGTGAAGAGGCAGCTCATAGAGTTGGAGGAAGTCTTTGTCAGATATCTATCTGACAGAGAATTAATATCTAGAATATACAAAAAAAAAGACCTCTAAACAATATGGAAACAAACAACCTAATCAAAGCATGGACTGAGGAACTGACAATTTGTGAAAAAAGAAATACAAATGGCCAATAAACATGAAAAAATGTTCCAACCTCACTATCCATCAGAGAAATGCAAATCAAAACTATATTGAGATTTCTTACTCCAGTTAGACTGTCAGTCATTAAGAAAATAAATAATAACAAATGCTAATTTTGATTTGTAGGTTTTGTGATTTTTCTGTTTATCCTCAATTTATTTTATTCTGATTTTTGGAAGGTGTCTCATTTTTCAAGGTTAATTTGAATTTTGTGTGTGTAATTGTACATGTGTGTAGAGGAGCAGTTCTAAGGCATCCTTATTCACACTCCAGCAGGTGGTTTGAATTCTGTGTGTGGTTGTACATGTGTGTA